GATGATTTCAAGAAGTTAACATATTAAGTGAGGAAAATTTAATAAGGCATATTGGTAAAGGTATATAACAAAATATTCTACATTAGAAAACAGCCTATATATTTGGGATAAGAGAAAAAAAAAACTCAGCCTATATAATTGAGACGGTGGAAGTATGTCTCTATGTATTTTTCCCTTCTGATCATGTCTGCTAGTTTAGATAGTGAAGACTTTTGAGCCATTTTCTTCCCTTCTATCAATGTCTGCTAGTTTAGATTGTGAAGACTTTTGAGCTATTTCTTTCTAGGCACATGTGCTTGAACATTGGAGCTTTATGTCTTTTCATTTTGGAAGATGTAAATCCCATTTTGTTTCTTGTGATTGGCGAAAATATGATCAATTTGGTTTTTCATTTCCATGCTTGTGGTATGGTAGAATGTGTATTTTGGAATTTGGAGCAATCACATGAATAAATGTTGATGCTAAATTGTGCTTCATATGAAATATAGCTTGTACTTGCCCCCACAATGCATATGTTTAGATGTATATCATAATATCATTGTCATTCGACCACATGAACAACGGAAAATGTGCAGATGACTACAAAAAGATTAAGCCCCTATTTGATTCTTGTTATTTTTAAAATATATTTTTCTCTCTCTTATTTTCAAATACACATTTTTCAATAAAATAATATTACACGAAATTAAAAAAAATTATTTTTTAATCAAACATTCTCTAATAAAATACTATTCAAAAATGCATTATTTCCAAAAAAAAAAAAATGAGCCTCAAACATGCTCTAAATGTCAACTGAATGACACGGATATATACACTGGAAATTTGATAGAAATCTTATAGTTTGGTGATGAACATAAGATTACAAATCGCACACATCACAAAATCATACAAGCCATGATTCGGATTTGATAAAAATATCTTAATTAAAAATGGAACATTCACCATGATATGCTACAACACATATTACTATTCGATATATTGGAATGATGACATAAAACCTAAATATTGTTTTTTAGTCATTAAATATGTCATTCTTTTATGCTTTCGTACGTGACTCAACAGGAGGTGTTGCTTATAAGTTCTCCTATTGTGTCCCTTTCTCCAGCACCTACCATACATTCGTCTCCTCGTCTTCCTCGGCCTTCCTACCTACCTCCTAGATTCAGGTGGAAAAATATCAACTTCATATCAATCGTTATCGACTTTCCACTGCGAACGGTCTCCAAGTGGAACTATGCACCCAACATAAGTATTAATATAGGACTCTTTAGTGTGGTGTATGGAACAATATTTATATGGTTGATCTCTTTTCTCCCCGATTACAGCTAACCCATGTGGAACCGGTTGCATGTCCATTTCATTTCCAACAAATCAATAATATGCTGCGTGTTTTCGTCCGACATCCGATACATGAAATCGTTTGAAGATGAGACCTACGAAAATGCAATATAATTTTTAGCAACTATAAATGACAGAGGTGATGTTTCTCCGAGAGAAATGTATCAATATTGTGGAATGTTTTATCTTTGTTGGGTATATGTGATTTTTTTGGGGAAAATCAAAGGAGGAATTGAAGTGCAATTGGACTATTTAACCATATTTTTTTATGGACTTAAATTTATCAATGGCCCATACACGAAGAAGTATAACATTTGTGCAACCCATTTAATAAAGTGCAAAGCCCGATGGACTACGAAATCTAGGAGGGTGTATTCTATTTAGATTTTTATGAACTTTTTTAAGTGAATATATTTTTTTAGAGTTTTAATGAGTTAATGATTTTGATTTTTACATACTTTCATTATAGATAATATATCTTTGTTTTATAGAATTATTTATTGATAAAATATTCTGAACTACTAATTGTATGATTAAATGATGAAGAATACACCGTAACAAAATTATATTTCTCATGTCAATAAAAATATTATATTAAATAATATAAAATATAAGTCACCTCAATTAGAAAAACAAACAACCAAAATACCAAAAAAAAAAAAGAAAAAAAAATGTATTGCATTTCAATACTCTTTGATTAAAAAAATCTAATGTTCTATATTTTTAGTATGTCAAAATATGAAGAAATTATTAAATTAAACAAGCAACCAATATATAAAAATATAATTATAATTTTTTTTTTTTTTTACAAAAAATAAACTAAAATTTGATCTTGTCCCATAAAAGAAATTGAAGGAAATGGTGAAAAAAGAGATAAAGAAATTTTATAATGATTTTTTATTTATTAATTGATCTTTTTCATGGAGAAAATGATGAAAAAGAAGATTAAGAAATAA